AAATACAATTACTTTAAAATGCCATTGGTTATATTCTGTCTTATCAAAGCTTAAACTCCTTCATCATCATTACGTAAAGATGCTTTGATGGTCCGCATTGATGAAATTTGTTCTAATATTTCTTCTGTTGTTCCACAGAGAAGTTGCTTCTTCAAGTTTGAACTTGCATCGTTCTATGTGACAATTTTTTTTATGGTTGTTCCATAACCTCCCTGTTTTCATAAATGGTTAATCAGTTTCATTTCCACGTTTCTCATAGAACATCTTGATCAAAATTACCGTATATGCCTACAATCTTCATAAGTATTTATTTGGGAGCCTATGTTTTTGTACTTCTGATTTTAAGTACCATAATAGAATGCTTGGACAGCTCTCAAACTCTGATCTATTTTGGAATCAATTTATTTGCACTTCAAAGTGGCACCCACAAATGTTTCTTTTGACACATGTGAGTGATCAATTTAGTTTTTATTATCTTCAAGTTCCAGCTATTGATGTATGATATTTCTTGATAGGCTTTGTCGACCTAGACTGTTGATGAGCCTTTTCTATCTGAGAATGCAGTATTCTTCATTGGAGCTTGATAGAAATGGATGTATATTTGCTGCATTGAGACCGTGTATCCATAGGTCAACAAGGATCTGAGTAGAGAGCCCCTGTGGAGCTGACCTTCTACACAACACGACACTCATCATATCTTCCATTTTCCCTTTCTTCCTCTGTTATTTCGACATCTTTGTTCTTTCCATTTTTTCTTGTTATTCGCCGTATAGGTCAATTGCTTAGGCCTTTTGAGTTTTCGTGACTGACATATTTCCATAGGCGGTGATCCAAGTGAAATTTGTAATTAGCATCTTTCTAGAGCATTGTAGATAATCATGTTCAGATATTGTCTTATGGAAAATTGATATTTCTTTATTTTTATTAGAACCTGTTTGGTTGCTGCCTTGAGAGACTTTCCTTCATACCTGCCAAAGTTGGTTATTAATCCGTTGCCTAAATATATGTTTCTTATATTCATTCTTGTCACTATTGGACTTTTGACATAGTAGTTTCTTCCCTTGTTATCTATGCTCAAGGACAAGGTTTATGCTGAGGGTGCTGTAGCTATTGGCAATATTATTGTTGCATGTTTTTCTTGCTTTTGTATCTATGCATAAACAAACTTGTTAGTTCTAACTTTTATGCAGTTTGAAGTCACAAATTTGTTTTAGATTTGTTACAAATTGATTAAAATAGTAGTAAATATTTTTGTTGTAATTCATCAAAATATGTCAATTCAAAATAAACTCTTCTATGTTCACAAATATACGAATATGTTTGTGCAAATTTAACATATATGTTTCATGTCTTCAAATGTCAAGTATCAAATAGACGGGCGCAGCAACGCGCGCCTTAAATGATCTAGTCCAAGGCAAAACCCGACGACTGTCAACCAGGTGCGCAAGTAGCTCGACAGATTAAAGGGGGAAAGAACTGCATCAGTTACGCTTGCATGAGCAGGAAGAATAAATACGCCTGTTTATGTATGATGATGAGAGTAGTGGAATTTAATTTAGGCCAGAGAAGGTGAAGAGGGAGAGATGCAGTTGTGGAGAAGATAGTAGGTAGCGAGGCTGACCACCAAGGAAAAGACTTGAAACGGCGCCGCTGCGACGAGGGGAATCGTCTGGAGAAAAGACGTTGTTGTGTTTTTTCTTCAGAATAGAAAACGCTTCGGCTGAAAAGGAGGAGGCCCAGCGAGCGTTGTGATGGGCCAGCCTTCCGGGAAAAAGGTACGAGCGTGCCCAGAAGCAATTAACTAGCGCATTTCTAAAATAAAAAACGGGTGCATTAACCCCTCAAAAAATAAAACTGGCGCATTAGAGAATGCAAAAAAAAACTGAATTGTTGGACTTTTTCATATGTGGTATTTGTGGGGCATGTTGGATGATGTGGATAGACTGCATGTCAAGACAATTAGGATAATGGGGATGAACTATTTAGATATTATAGATTTGACTCGATAATCTCTAGCCCACAAATCATGCGTATTCTTCCATCTTTCTCTCTATGTAATTTATTCGAGTCCACTGCCTGTTTTTGCTGTCGAGCCATAACACAATTCTGGACATGACTAACTATGTCTGTAATTAAATTATCTCCATCTTTCATAATTGATTCAGTCTAAATACGAAAAATGTTTGACGACACACTGGATCTCATAGTGTTGTGTCAGCCTGGCAGGAAAGTGAGGAAAAGCGCTCGAGAAATGGCCGCCGAGGGTGGCGGTGACGATAACGGGAGGAGGGGCGGGGGAGGGGCAAGAAAAGAGAAAAAGGGCGTCTGTGTCACCGACGGGTGGGACAGGGGAGGACAAGGGCGTGCATCCCGCCCGTCCGCGCACTATATGCCTCGAGAAGAGCCCCGAGTCAGGGCTATAGGCGCTAGCACTGTCGCTGGCATGGGCCGGCCCACGAGCGCGCTCGCTCACTCGGGGAAACGAAAAAGGTCGCTGAGTTCGATCGCTAGATCCGTCGCTCCCTCGAACGCTTGCTAGTAGCTAGTTTTTCTTCCCTTTTTTTGCTGAAAAACCACCCAGTTTTTCTATTTCTTACAAAATTAAATTATGAAATAAAAACAGGCTTACAGTTGTTAAGAAAAAGTCATCAATTTGAAAAAAAAAGTTCATCTCTTTAAAAAATGTTCATAGGTTTTTGAAAAAAGTTCATCGATTTTGGAATAAATTCATCAGATTTGAAAAAAAGTTCATAGATTCTGAAAAAAGTTCGTCGATTTTGAACAGAGTTCATCGATTTTTTTTAAAAATGTTCATCAAAATTGGAAAAAACTTTACCCAATTTAAAAAAGTTCATCGAAATTTAAAAAATCATGGATTTTGAAAAAAAACATCATTTGAAAAAGTTTTCAGCGAATTCAAAAAAAAATCACGTATTTGGTGACAATCCAACGGTCAAGGAAAAAGAAAAAACAGAAACCAAAAAAGAAAAAAGAAAAAATAAAAACGAAAAACGAAAAACAAAAAACGAAAAACGAAAAAGGATTGAATAAAATACGAATATGTTAGAATGTTAGCACGACTGCGCTTGTTGGCGGGGTGGTTGCACGAGCCAGCTGTCGGGGAGGATATCGTAGGTTCGAATCCTATTTGCCGCTCTCTGCAGCAAGAAATCGCAGATTCGCACAGGCGGGTCGATCTGATAGGTCCTATTGGGCCGGCCTGTTTACGCCCTTTCAGCGTTCCCGTTTTGCGAACCTTTCAGAGGTTCCCAGCCGGTTTTTTACTGTTTTGGGAACCTTCTGAGCCGGATTTCTTTCTTTTTTGTTTAGCTTTTTGTTTTCTTTTTTCCCCTTTTCTCTCCTTGTTTCTTTTTTCTGTTTATTTTCTTTACTTATTTCTTTTTTGTTTTTTCTCCGATTTTCTTTTCTTTTCGTTTTCATTTTTCTTTCTTGGATTGCTTTTTCTTTTTCAAAAAATGTTCACATTTTACAAATTTTGTTCATTTTTACAAAAAGTGTTCTGTTTTCAAATTTTGTTCATAACTTGCAATATTTGTTTGCTTTGTTTCAAAAAATGTTCATAATTTCATGAAATGTTCTATTTTCAAATATTTGTTCGAAAATTCAAAAAAGTTTCATGTTTTTTGAAAACATTTTCTGCAGTTTCAAATTTTTTGTTCGCATAGGCAAAACAATCTTCTTGTCTATGAAAATGTTCAGAAATTCAAAATATGTACACACATTTTCAAAATATAGACCATTTTTCTGAATTTTTGAACAAATTTCAGATTCTAGAACATTTTTTGGAATGTTTCAAAAATTGTTCACATTTCTTTGTTTGCAATTTTCAAAAAATGATCGTTTTTCAAATTTTGTCTGGTACATTTTTCTTTTAAAAAAAATCACATCTTTAAAAAATTGTTCATCATTCTAAAAAAATGTTCCCGTTTTAGAAAAACACAAATTAAAAAATGTCATGTTCTCAGAATTTGTTCACAAATTAAAAAATGCTCCTCTTTTTGAAAAGTGTTCGCAAATTCAAAAAATGTTCGCATTTTGTCAAAATTTGTTCATGATTGTGAATTTTTGTTCAGAATTTAACAAAATGTTCATACTTTTTCAGGATCTGGTCACAAATTCAAAATATGTTCCTGTCTTTAGTTTTTTTCAACAATTCAAATTATTGTTCAAAATTTCAAAAAACTTGTATGTTTTTATCAAAACTGATCGTAATTTTTAAGAATGTTTCTGTTTTTCAATATTTGTCCACAACTTCAAATTTGTTCCTTTTTTTAAATTTGATTACATATTCAAAAAATGCTAACTAAATTTAAAACTCGTGTGTGTTCGTAAAAACGTTCTTACATTTAAGAAAAATATTCAGAAATTACAAAAAAAAAGTCCAGAAAAGAAAAAATAACCGGATCTGGTGATGTGACTAGTTCTATAGTACTCGCATTGCCATATCACCATAAGCATCAATCAGGCGTAGTGGTTACTTACCTTGCTCTAGAAGTGAACGGTCGTAAGATTGATTCTTTGCTGAAGCTTCATGTTTTTCTTTCATTTTTACACCGCTCGCGGTTTGTGTGGGCCGCCAAGTCGGGGGGCGCCCCGACTGGTTGCCGCAGTAAGCGGCACATAGGTGCTCCTGCAGGAATCCCTCAAAAAAGAAGTGCTCCTGCAGGAATCGACCCGCCTCAATGCAAAATATGGTTTAAATTTGAATCGAAAATGAATCAAAACCAAAAGAAAAAAAAACATTTATTTGTTTGCTTCGCGTGTTGGACCGTGTTTTGCGTCCCTTAGCTTCGAAGAAGGGACGCGGCCGAACCACGACTTGGCCTAATATACCCAGGTACTGGATTGAGATAATAGCTTAAATGAAACGCAATGTTGTGGTTGTGGAGGACTTTCGTGCAAACATCCATTCTTCCTCTCAGCCTTAAGCGAAAAAACCCTAGCACTGGACGACCTCCAAAACCCTAGAGCCGTCCCCAATGGCGAGCCACGAAACCGACCCGTCCCCTGCCGCCCCCTCCAAGAAGAAGAAGAGGCACTCCAAGAAGCGCAAGGCCATCGAAGTCACTGTAGATGCCTCCTTTCCTGGCGCCGCCGCCCCCGTCGTCGGCTACTTTCCGACGGGCTACGACCCCCTTGCGGCCGCAGAGCCCCCACGTGCGCGGTTGTTCCGCCACGAGAAGCACCATAACCGCGTCGAGCTAGTGGTCCGCGCCCCTGGTGGAGGCCCCGACTTCGTCGGCCGGAGCTACGCCGGCGAGGCCGCTGCGCCGCAGCTCTGCGGCTACGCCCTCGGCGTCCTCGACAAGGCCACCAGCACTCTGAAGATTGTCCCCATCGCCTCCAACAAGGTGAGCATCTCCATCCCGATGGCGCCAAAGTTTGTTCGGTCTTGTTTAAGCAATTCTACATACAGTAGTATTGTTCTTAGTTGACGTGAAATGTTATGATCCCATTTATATTTATAAGCAGTTCTAGTCCGTTTATAAATCAATTCTTGTCCTAAGAACTGACATGCTTGCTCAAAGGAACAAGAGATTTCGGGTGGGCATTGGAACTGCGCTAATCTGTAATTGGTTTTATGGTTAACCTCCTTAATTCAAAATAAATGCTGCAACTGGGTGATTCTGTAACATCGCTAGCATAATTTAAGATTTTGTGAGCAGATGTGCCTGCTCCGAGTTCCTGTGGTTGGTGAGATGGTATCTGAACTGCTGCAAGGGGATTTTCTTTCTCAGTATGACCATTATAATGGTTTACATTGAATGTATCTGAGGTTTATTTAGTTCGAATAAGATTAGCATTTGTGATTGGAGGATATGTAGCGTTATTCTGAATGTTTGTATTTCCAAACAGATTTTGAGGCTAGAGCCACACTTTGAAGTGCAGCAACCGGCTCATTCACAACAGTCAGCAGCAGAAGCAGGTTCTTCTGTAGCAGATACTGAATTGAACAGACAAGATCTTACCCAGGCTTATGGGACCAAGAAAGATAAGGATAAGGTATGTTTGTGGTACAGGGTCTACTGTCTTTGCTGTTGACTATATTTGTTTTTTTGTAATTATTATTTTATTTCATGCTGTGAGCCTGAGCGTTGAATTTTGTACGGTAGTACTCCCTCCGTCCCAAAATAAGTGTCCCAAAATAAGTGTCACTTATTTTGGGACGGAGGGAGTAGAACATAATGGTCATGAATGTAAGGTGTCACTGTTTTTTTCTTGTTGTAATGATGGAAAATATTTAGCATGAACTGTCATGAAAATAATATACCTCTTGCTACAATAGTTTTGTGCATTTAGATAAACTTGGCTTTTCCTCTCTCTTTTTAGTGTGACAAGAAAATACTTTCTTGTATATGTATGTAACTGGTTTTTAAAGTAAAAATAAGCTTCCACAGACTTGTTACATGTGTGAACTTAACATTTTCCATTTTAAATAGGTCGCAGCCATTTTCATGATGTTACAGGATTATTTTTCTTCTTCTCCTCTTCTCCCATCTTAACAGTGTCCTCTGACATGCTTAACACTTAAGTTTTGGATACAAACATGGTTTGGTTCAGTTGAATATATGTATTCCTATTCCTTGCAGGATAATAAGTGGAAGTCACTAAAAGAACAAAGGAATGACCCTTCTGCTTATTTGGACCTTGATCTTGGAGAGTCCAAGACCACTGCAGATGCCACTGATAGTCAGGCATCAATGGAAGTTCGCAACATTCCACCTTATGATCCTGCTGCAGATACATCTGAAAAGGCATATCTTTTTGATGAGATCATTCCAAAAAATATACGGCCACACCTTCTTGATATTGTGGGACACTTTGAATCGGGAGAATTTGGTTTGAAAGGCTATGGGAGTTTTGTCTCGAATCGTGTGAATAAGTTGCAGGAACTTCAGGTAAATAGTGATGGTTTTCTATGTCTTTTCGTGTTATCTGGCGGTTGCAAGACCTTGTTTTGTTTCAATACCAGCATGCTCACAGTAGTATCCAGCTTCTTGAAACTAGCTTTATTCTAGACTTGAGCAGGATTTTTGAGAAAAGCTGATATTTTTACGTTGTCGTGATATTTTTCTGCAGTGGATCTGTCTAGGATGCATCCTTACTCCGTAGGCAGTTTATGTGTGATGTGGGGCACACATTCTTTCTGTTATTGTATTTGGATGACAGATATCAAGACACTATTGTTGCTACTTTTCCATGTTTTTGCTTTGTAGATATTTACGTAGTTATGCTGCCCAATATTATGCAGTTAATGATGGAAAACTAACTGTCTGCCCAATATTGTGCTAAAGTTAATTTAGAAAGAGTTGCTTCACTTATTATTCCATGTGATGTAAAATCATTAGCTTTTGTTTTGTTTTGTAGGGTGAAGATCAGGAAAGGCTTGCTTGGATACTATCCTATATCACACATCTCCTGTCCTTGTTGGCGCGCAACAGCTCCATGTCCAAGCAGAAAAGAAAAGAAAAAGACCAGACCATCCGTGGACCAATGATCCCACAGGCGGTGCACCGCAAGCTGTTGCTGATGTTCACGGAGCCAGGGTCTTCTTCCTTGTCGACAGAGAAACACGAGCTTCTGATCAATTACATTTTAGTACTCACACTTTTTGCTGATGACTTCAGATCTGAACCTACGGATATATGTGCGGACTTGAAAATGAACCGCCAGATGCTTAAACCATATTATGACCAGCTGGGATGCAAGTCCGTGTCAACAGGTGCTTTTAAACCAGTTTTTATGACACTTCCAGCACCCCTCAAGTTCCCACAACAAGTCACAAGGAGAAGGCGGCGAAAATAACCATCTTAGTTATTGGTTTCCATTTGATATGGTTGTGATAGGAAAGGTATGCATTGCCACCGTCGAACCTATGTGCCCTCAGCTCAGTTTCACCAATGTAGTGGAGAAAATGATGAAGGTGGTTGTTCTGTTTTTGTTTTCTATTGTCACTTGGGAATTGCTACGAGAGGAACCATATTACTGATATATAATTTGCTTGCTACCGAAATTTGTTTTTTGATGCTACATTTGGTATACCACCTTGTCGTGAGTTGAGTCGTAATTTTTGGTTGTATTTTTCTTCTGGAAAGAGATGCCACATCCTTGCCATCGTCTACTGTGATGGTCACCTGCCACGATGAACCAGCAGGTCGATAGCCGAGCGACGAAGGGCCCAGCTGTCTGTGAGCTGGTTCTGTGGACTTCAGGGCCACTTGTAAGCGTGTGTTCTCTGCCCTGCTATAAGCGCCAGGACTAGCGTGCGTGTAGAGCACGTAAAAGGTGAATTCTGAATATCTCTCTCTCCCCCTCTCTCCCTTGAAGTGGAAAACGACGCATGCAACACTGGTGTGAGGGCTGTGCTCATGCAGCGTGGCCATCCGATTGCCTATATGAGCAAGGCGATGAGTGTCATGAACTGCAAGCTCTCTATATACAGAAAGGAGTTCATGGCAATCATGATGGCGGTGGATAAATGGAGACAATACCTCCAGAGAGGTGCTTTCACTATTTGGACTGATCACGAGTGTGTGCTCTCTTTCTGATCAGCAGCCGACAACAAATTTGCAGCGCAGAGAACACAACGCTTACAATTTCAGTTCAAATACAAAAAATAAAAAATAAATAGAGAATGGAGCTGCAGATTCTGTGTCTCGCATTGGTCATTGCTATGAAACTCAGGCCATGTCTGTTTGTCATCCTGAGATTGGATACAAGAGGTCTAAAATTTCTTACAACAATGACACTGATATGCTAGAACTACTTCAACAATTGGCCATTCATTCCCTTGACAGAGGGTTACTCTTTGGAACATGGACTGATAAAATACCAAGGACGATTGGTAATTGGCAACAATTTGGCTTTGCAAACCAAATTAATTGCTGCCTTGCACGCATTCTGGAATCACTCCTACTTACCAGGGAGCAAAGAAGTTGTACTACTGGCCAGGCTTGAAGCTAGATATGGAGTTTTTTTGGTCAGACAATGCAGCATTTGTCAACAAGCCAAGCATACCAATCTGAAACCAGTTAGTCCATTGCAACCACTGCCACCTCCTTAAGCTCCTTGGCAGGAAATTACCATGAATTTCTTTGAGGGTTTGCCACCGTCCGAGGGCGGATATGTGATCAACTGAGCAAATATGCCCACTTTATATCCCTGCATCACACATACATAGCTCATACCGCTTCAAAGCTTTTTGTGGATCAAGTGGTCAGATTACATGGTGTTACAGTCATATTTACCAGCCATGTTTGGAGAGATCTCTTCAAAGATACTATGGGTAATACTCTCCTCTACAGCAATACGCATCACCCACAGACTGATGGCCGAAGTGAGCGGGTGAACCAATGTCTTGAGCAGTATCTACGTTGTGCAGTACAAGATCGACCCAAAACTTGGCATTGGCTTCCAATGGCTGAACTTTGGCATAGTACCAATCATCACGGTTTGGGTTGCTCTCCATTCCGTGCACTTGACAAGATGGAGCCCAATTTTGGAGGTATGCCGAATATTGCCACTTCCAACAACTCATAGATTGCTCAGACTGCGGTTGATTATCAAGACCACATTGATCTCCTACGTGCCCATTTATCTCGAGCTTAGGCTAGGATGAAGGCTCAGGCTGACCGCAAATGCGCAGAGTGACAATTTGCAGTGGGCGAGCAAATTTTCCTCAAACTTCAGCCCCATGCACAGCAAACGGTGGTCAATCGTCCATGTCGCAAACTTATAAACTTTCCTAAGTATTTGGGGCGTTCACGATTGTGGAACGCATAGGCGAGGTGGCCTATGGTGGTTTGGACCTGCCGGCCCACTGCCCAGGTGGACCCCGCTTTCCATGTTTCACTGCTACTGCAAATTTACCCGCCGGTTTTCGGTGATCTGCCTCCACCGGATTTGCTGAGGTGCGAGGCGATTTTTCAACGACGGTTGGTGGGCAACGGCAATGTCCAGTGGGTAATTTTTTTTCTCAAGGAACCGGCAAGAGCACTGCCTTTTCATTTCAGACGAAAAAGAGGGTTTATGTACAAAGATGACAGGTTTTTCTGGGGAAACCTGACGAAACCCTTATAAGGACCGTTGTGGTATGCTAAGTGAACCAAATCACCCAATGCCGGTCGCCACTTGTGCCCAGCCAAAGGCGCAAGCTCACGTTCTTATGTCGTCGAGCGCGATGGCCGCCACCTCCAGGTGAGTGAGGCGGGTGCCGATGAATATCCGGCGGTTGCGCTCCTTCCAGATATTCCAGATGGTGTAGAGGAAGTGCCCGCTACGTTGGCGTCTTTCGTCCTTGGACAGGGGACAGATGAGCCGATCCCACCAGTCGGAGACTCCCATGGGAGGCGGAATTGTCATCGTGTTCGTCGGCGCCTCCCCGGTCCATGCCTGAACATGCGACCAAACCGCAATCGCAAATGGGCAGTCCTTGCAGAGGTGAGTTGCCGTCTCCGGTGCTCCCAGACACAGCGGGCATGTAGGATCGTGCTGCCATCCGTGAATAGTGAGCATGTCGGCCGTGAGGATCTTGCCATGGAGCACCAGCCAGGAAAAGAGCTTGCATTTGGGTTCCGCGTGTGCCTCCCAAATCTTCGTCGGCGAGAACCTGGGGAAGGAGCCGGAGACCTGGGTTGTATATGCCGAAGCCGCGGAGTAGATTCCATTTGTAGTCCAACGCCAGGAGATGGAGTCCTCCCTGTCCGTAGACAGTGTAACCTGGGAGGTCAGAGATGCTATCGAGATGAATTCCTGCAGGTGTATGGGGGACTGAAGGCGGGCGACCGATCTGATCCAGTTATCCTCGTGCAGCTCCTTGGACACTGTTGTAACACCCTCGATGCGACTATATCTCCCATGTGTCGAGGCACGACTTAGAGGCATAATCGCATTGAAGGCATATGTCGCAAGTAAGGCAATCTTCACAACATCCCATGTAACATAAATAATAAAGAGGAGAAAACATAGTTGGCTTACACTCGCCACGTCAATCAAGGTACATAAATAACATTACATCATCCAAACACTCATGGCCCGACTACGGCGCCAAAATAAAGATAACCCAACATGCGACACGGTCCTGATCACCCCCAACTGGGCACCACTACTGATCATCAGGAAAAGAAACATAGTATCGTTGAGAGTCCTCGTCGAACTCCCACTTGAGCTCAAGCGCGTCACCTGGAGCGGAATCATCAGACTCTGCATCTGGTGTAATAGTAATCTGTGAGCCACAGGGACTCAGCAATCTCGCACCCTTGCGATCAAGACTATTTAAGCTCAAAGGTAAGGCAAGGTAAATATGTGGAGCTGCAGCAAGCGACTAGCAAATATGGTGGCTATCCTGTTCGCAAAAGAGAGCGAGAAGAGGAGGCAAAGCGCGAGCGAGAAACTAGAGGGAAACCTGCGCAAGCATTACTCCAACACCGTGTCCACTTCTCGGACTCTGCCGAGAAGAGGCCATCACGGTAACACACTCAGTTGATTCATTTTAATTAAGTTAAGGTTCAAGTTATCTACAACCGGACATTAACAAATTCCCATCTGCCCATAACCGCGGGCACGGCTTTCGAAAGTTCAAATCCCTGCAGGGGAGTCCCAACTTAGTCCATGACAAGCTCTCACGGTCAACGAAGGAATAGACCTCCTCCCGAGACATTCCGATCAGACTCGGCATCCCGGTTCTTCAAGACAACTCCGACAATGGTAAAACAAGTCCAGCAACACCACCCGCTGTGCCAACAAATCCCGATAGGAGCTGCACATATCTCGTTCTCAGGGCACACCGGATAAGCTAAGCGTACGAGAGCCAACGTAACCCAAGTTGCCAAGGGACGGCCCCGCACGGTGCTCTAGGTTGGACCAACACTCAGAGGAGCACTGGCCTGGGGTTTAAAATAAGATGACCCTTGAGTCCGCGAAACCCAAGGGAAAAGGCTAGGTGGCAAATGGTAAAACCAAGGTAGGGCATTGCTGGAGGAGTTTTATTCAAGGCGGACTGTCAAGGGGTTCCCATTATAACCCAACCGCGTAAGGAACGCAAAATCCGGGAACATAACACCGATATGACGGAAACTAGGGCGGCAAGAGTGGAACAAAACACTAGGCGAGAGGCCGAGCCTTCCACCCTTTACGAAGTATATAGGTGCATTAAGATAACAAGATAAAATAATGATATCCCAACAAGTAAATAATGTTCCAACAAGGAACGGCCTCCAATCTTCACCTGCAACTAGCAACGCTATAAGAGGGGCTGAGCAAAGCGGTAACATAGCCAATCAACGGTTTGCTAGGACATGGTGGGTTAGAGGTTTGACATGGAAATTTGGGAGGCTTGAAAGCAAGTGGTAGGCATCGTAGCATTGGCATAGCAAAAGAGCGAGCAATCTAGCATAGCAAAGATAGTAGTGATTTCGAGGGTATGATCATCTTGCCTGCAAAGTTGTCAGAGTTGATTGGATCCTCGAAAGCAAACTCAACGGGCTCCTCGTTAGCGAACTCGTCTCCTGGCTCTACCCAAACAAGACAAACAAGCAACAAGGACACAATCAACCACGTGCAAGGATCAAACAATATGATGCAAGGATGGTATGCTATGCGGGATGCGATGCGAGATGCATATGCAAGATTTGACAAGGGATGCAAGAATCTGGCCTCAACTTGGAAATCCAAGTATGCCACTGAAAAGATGAGATGAAAACGCTTGAAAACGATATAAAGAACGCCAGAATCGGAGTTACGGTTTGGAAATGGCAAGCGATTCAAATATGACCACGGTCTGCGATTTACAGCAAGTAGCCATCTAA